TTATTGTTTTAAAAATATAGTGGCAAACGTCCCACCTGTGGGACGGTGACAGTTAACCTCTTAAAAGTGACTGGTTAACACTGAATAAATGTTTTGTCTTCAATCTATTTTCTCATTGTTTTCTTCCATTGCATTTGTAATAGGTTAATCACTGTAGTGCTTAGAAGTAATGTATGGCTACAAGTAACCTGCACACATTTTAATTAGGTTTTATGAACTTATTTTCTTAGTAAAATTAACCTAATCACATGTGAATTAACATTTTAATTGAGTCCTGGATGGAAAATAAATCTAAATGTCTATATTCTATCAAGAAAAGTAGGTTTATCTGAGTAATACTAGTATTATTAGTTAACTCAACTTGATTTTATTGCGTTCATATAAAGTAATGTTAAAATGTTCAATATACTTAAAAAAAAGGCTGCAAGTTCACTCAACCTAAAACATTCAATGCAGCCACTTGTCTCACTTTTTTATAAGTTAGATCAAGGTATTACTTTTTACAGTAGGAACAAATAATAAAATTACAAGCAATAGCACAAATAAATAAAACAGAACAAACATATAAATGAAATAAACTGTGCTTTCAGTTTAAAAAAGAGCCTTAAATTAAGTACAATTAAATGCAACTTGGTGATGATTTGAAGTTAAAGGGGAGGTTACTTATGATTTAACTTTTCAAACTTTAATTTTTCAAGTGACAAACATTAATGCAGGTGGGAATTAAATAAGAGTTATGTTGTGGTTTAGTGCACCTGTTTGGAAAGCGTTGTTGAATGTTCTGAACTGTTTTCAGTTGTGAGGAAATGTGAATGAGAACTTTAGTTTGGGGGAAGTTTATATTCAAGGAAAGGGGGATGTTGTGTATTGAGAGCAAGTTAAACCTGGTGCCTTTGTGCTTCGATCCAAATAACTAACAAACATGTTTACAATCAAGAGACATCAAATAACCCTTATAAACACTAAAAACAAAGACTAAAGCGTGTTCGTTTTGCATCATGGTTAACCAGCATCCTCAAGCAAAGAGAGATTCAAAAGTTGGATTTTAATTGCATTGTCCTCTCTCTCTCTCTCTCTCTCGCTCTCAATAAATTTATTACATAAACCCAAGTCATGTAATGAGTCATGATGACATATACAGTGCCCTCCACAATTATTGGCACCCCTGTTTAAGATGTGGTCGAGGACTTTTAAAAATTCTCCCTTTTTTTTAAACAACATAGAATCCAAATGCAAAAAAAGAGAAAAATCCAACCTTTTATTTAAGTACATTACTTTGGTGGTAAAAAAAAAATTAAAAATAAAAAAAAATAAAACTTCAAATCATGTGTCCCCAATTATTGGCACCCCTGATGTTAATACTTTGTACAACCCCTTTTGCCAACAAGACAGCACTTAATCTCCTCCTATAACATTTCACAAGATTGGAGAACACAGAGAGAGATTCTTTGACCATTCTTCTTTGCAAAATCTTTCTAGATCATCCAGTATCCTGGGCCCTCTCTTGTGCACTCTCCTCTTTAGCTCACCCCACAGGTTTTCGATTGGATTGAGGTCTGGGGACTGAGATGGCCATGGGAGGACCTTGAGTTTGTGACTGAACCATTTTTGTGTAGATTTTGCCACACGTTTTGATCTTTATCCTGCTGAAAGACCCAATGAACGACCCATCTTCAGCTTTCTGGCAGAGGCCATCAGGTTTTTATTTAAAATGTCCTGGTAGTTCAAAGCGTTCATAATGCCATGCACCCTAACAAGGTTCCCAGGGCTTTGGAAGAGAAACAAGCCCACAGCATCACAGATCCTCCACCATACTTCACGGTGGGCATGAGGTACTTTTCGGCATACACATCTTTGTTTTACACCAGATCCACTTAGAGTGTTTGTTGCCAAAAGCTCAATCTTAGTCTCATCCGACCAAAGCACACGATCCCAGATGAAGTCCAGTGCCGCTTGGCAAACTCCAGACGTTTACGTTTATCAGTGTTAGTGAGAAAAGGCTTTTTCTAGCATGCCTCCCAAACATCTTGTTGGCATGTAGAGAGCGTCTGATGGTTGTTTTGGAGATTTGTGGACCCCAAGATGCCACTATTTGATGCAATTCTGTGAAGTGAGCTTAGGACTTTTTTTTTTTTACTTTTCTTAGCATCCTCCTCACAGTGCGTTGTGGCAAGATAAACTTGGGACCTCTTTCAGCCTTGTTTGTCACTGTTCCTGTTGTTTTAAACTTCTTAATGATTCCTCTAACTTTAGATATGGGCAATATAAGTGAGTGGC